GGGTTTGGGCGTGGATGATAACGTCCATGCCACTTGCACTTCTTGCCGCGACGCTCCCTGGGAAACACTGCCTCTTTGCAAAGTCTAGCCAAGTCTGTATCCAGCAAGCGCTTCCTGCTACGGTACCCCTAGACCTGCTGACAGTCTTACGCCGGCTGAACTCTGGCGGCAGGAACCCCCAAAAACGAGATTCAGGATCCAGGCCTTCATGCCCCCCCATGATTCTTGTAGCTTGGCAGAACTCTTCGAGGCTTCCATGCTTCCGGGCTGTGGGATTCTGTCGGGTCTCAGACTTCAGAGCCCACATGCAGGCAAGGTGCAACGAAGACAGGCATGAGCCCGCACATGCAGAGCGGGCATGTGTTCCAGATCGTGTATGGCAATTCCTGTCTGCAGGGCTTCGCTCGGTCCACGGGCACTACCACACCACGGCAATCGTCAACGCGAACATCTGCAGCCTTTGACTCTTGGTTCTGTTTAAGAGCAATGAAGACTATACATAGCCTATAGCTTAGCCTAAGATCTATGCATGTGCATGAAGCTTTGACGGCTTCGTACCACGCGGGGATTGAGGCGACATAGCTCGCGGGTGCAGTACCCATACACACACACACACACAGAAAAGACTCATACCAAGCTTCCCTGGTAGCCACTTGCCACCAAACCCCTGATGCAACCGCTGTCCTGGCAGAAAGTTGAGCACGAGTATGCATTCCTGGCAGCCAATGTGCAGCATACTCCAAACCCTTCAAGGATACAGCGCTGCACAACTCCTCCTTATCCAGTACCCTTTGCTGTGTCAGATCATTCCGTGCGAAGGAAATGTTGAAGTCATGTTTGAATACCACGAACCCATGGGCAACTGAGGACACCGGGCCGCGACATCTTGGCAGAATTGGCTTCCAGGACCGTGAATCAGAGATGAAATGACAAGACTGTGCGGATCCCAGCTTTCCAGCTTCCAAGTTTTCGCACTCCAGAACATCCGCGCACATCCGTGAACGTCCTGTCTCCAAGTGTGCCAAGTGGCTCGTCCAGCTTCGCTCGCAGCCGCCGCCTGGCCTTCGACAGGAACGAACGAGCAGAGTAACACAGCGAGCGAAGCCTAAACCATCTCTCAGAAGACGACGACGAGTCTGGCTTTTTTTGTGAGACTTCGGTGTTTCTGGTGGGTCAGAGCCTGTGCTAGACTCTCCTCTGGGGAGGATTCTCGGCTCATCGCTTCAGCCGCCTCGTGCTCCCCTCCCGGTCCCAGCCTCCGGGTGCATCCTGCCGCAAAAACGGCAGCCGCTGCTGCCGCCGGGCCGATAGCGTCAGTGGAGGCTGTTGACTGTGTTAACTAGGCTCGACTGCAGACCTAAGTATCTCAGGAACGGTCTGGTTGTAGAGGGGAAAGAGTGCAGCAAGGACTATGAGGCTGGCAGAATTCTTTCCACAAAGCCGAGTAGTTCTTGCTTTTCGACACTCAGAAGCCAAGGAAAGCGCGGGAATGCTGGGGGAGCTTCTAAGCTTCGTTGGACCGGGCCTCGGCTTCGGCGGAGGCACCTTTTTGCAGTTTTGCCCTCTTTCCGGACGCACGCGGAGCTCTGCGAGGGCCCTGGATGGGGCCAATGGTTTACCCACCCGGAGCCCGCTGTACATCAGAGCCCAGCGGTGATTGCTAGCTGACCCGGTTGATGCCCCGATAGGGGAAAGATTGGATCGCGGCGCGAAGCATGAATTTGCTGAGCTTCCCCGTGATGCTTGGATCTACATCTACATTGCTCTCTGTGCGAGGCAGGAGAAAGCCACAGATGCTGCGAATCTTGCGAACACTACTCGAAGTACAACTAAAGATTCAGAAACTTCGTGCTCTGGCTCGAACTTGAGGTGCCTCTGAGCCAATGGTAACATGCCTGGGATTCGTAGGATTCGAGAACTGCAGGGCAGGGATTGCCAGAGACTCGAGCCATGACCGCTGGAAACGCGACAGTCGCAGAAATCTATGCGTCTGCATTCCGCTGATTTCTGGCTGACACAAATTTGGATCAGGTTTGGGAGTGCTGAGCTGCAGACATGCACGTGTTTATGTCTATAGCTACGCTCTTGACTCTAGCCCAAACCTCGACTCTCAATGCGACGGGGCTTCAGTCGAAATCAAGCAGTCGGCCGGTACCTTGGACATACAACGGTGGTGGGAGGCAGATAGCACACACAAACACATATACAATCATGAATATCTCTATACATCCATATACATGTATATAAATATGTGTATATATATATATATATATATTACATATGTAATGTAATATGTATACATACACACATACATACGTAGGTACGTACGTACGTATGTACATACGTACATACATACATACATACATACGTACGTACATGCGTACATACATACATACATACATACATACATACATACATACATACATACATACATACTTCTATACACTAAACACATTGTGTCATCCCTTCCCTCGTTCCTTCCATTCATTCGTTCCTTCAT